GTAAAGAAACACCACTAATTGAATAAACCTTTGATGGAAACCGGACAGTACAATTAGATTTGATGTGAGAAAGTGATGAAACAAACAATGAGCCCACACAACTGCACTCAGCAACATCAATCTTTACTTGTTAATGGCTAAATACAGTAAAGAAAGACATATTTGACTAATCTGAGACAATATCAAGCTTTACTCAGGGTAAAATGCAAGTTGAAGAGTATAATGCTTAAGGATGAAACAAGGAAAACTGTATAATGCCAGCCTGCACCACAGCACTGAAACTAAAAATAAATCACTATCGAGAAAAGGACAAGCCTTGTTTCAAGGCTCCAACTGCTCTATTAATCAGACTCCTCTCATACATGTCTTGCAGAAACTGAATAAGAGCATGTGGGATGTCTTAACCAGTGGGCTCATGCATTTGTCTCTGATCTGATAAATGAAATTGCACTGCTGCTCTATAGCGAACACGATTACAGTCTGAAGAACTTATAGATTTGTTTTATTCAATGTCAAAAGCAATTCAACTTTATCGCTAAATATCTCTATCTAGATAACAGTAATCTGAATGTTTTTGGTGTTACTTTCCTTATACTGTTTAACTGCATTCATACGAGTAACACGATGTGATCTGGAGGCCTTAAGCACAACTGTGCTTGGATTAGCCTTAGGAAAAATCTGCAGTGTGAAATGTCTACTAATAGCCAAGATCATTTGCATTCTGAGAATAAAGCCAGACAATGACATACAAGGAAAAGTTTGTGACCTATTTGCACTCTATTTCTAGAGATGTGTGAACAATGCACACTCCAAGACCCACTGCAATAACAGATAACCCGTTTCCTTGATCCTTAACATGCATTTTACATTTTTTTGTATTTCTGTAAAGATTAATAAAAGCAATTCTACAAGTTTAACCTTTGTATTTTTCAAAAAACAACAACAAAAAACCCCAAAAAAACCCAAACATGCTCCCTGCCAATTTTAAATATACGTTTCCCCAAATGTGAAAAAAGTCAAATATGCTTATTCAAACATCAATCATTAACCGTTACTTGGATGATAAAACTAAGACGTATAAAAGTCATAGTCTTTCAGTTAAGCTACAAATAAGTTTATACAGGCAGAAGTTGCAGGCCAATAGAATAATATTATTTTTGATTTATCTGCAGTGCTTAGTTTCTACTGTGGGCAAGGCAAGTTGAATTCTGGAAATAAAGTCAGCTCAGGAGGTAGAGTAGGTCACCTACTAATCGGAAGGTTGGGGGTTTGGCAAGATAGTTTGGCAAGTTGGGCAAGATACTAACCAGAAGCTGAATGTCAGATAAAAAGCACTTAAGCCTAGAAACAAGTGTTTGTGTGAATGGGGCATGTTGAATATAGTGCTTTGAGTGCTCAGAGAGAGCAGAAAAGCGTTACATAAGAACCAGTGCATTTTCCAATGACATACAAGACAAAGTTTGTGAACTTGGTTTTCCCTATTTACATGAGTAAACGCTGACCAAACCTCTAAAGAAAAGAGACTGCTGCCTACCGAGCAGCGACCCATAGCTGGCCTTTCAAGCAACAGCTGGCAGTGAAAGCACCAAGCCTTTTAAGCTGCTAGTGATGAGGCTGCATCCCTCAGAGGAGGGATCCATCCTGTGTTTGTATGTAATGTAGATGCAATGCATCTAGCCGGGCTGCAGGCCCCGACTACTTAACCCTGCTTACCGGCTCCGGGATGCCTGTGAGCTCCGTGTGAAGAGTGGCGCTGCGCCCCTGCGGACAGGTAGCTCCCCTGGGTGTGCTGCTGCTGGTTCTCGGGGTAGCTACGACCTCCGTGGTGCGGCGCCCAGCTAGAGTTGCTCTGCTGCGGGTAGTTCACCCCTCCGCCGCTGGCGCTCATCAAGCCCCCGTTACCGATCGCGTTAGCGCCGCCGTTGTTTCCAACGCTGCCATTCATGGCGAAATGAAAGAAGCCAGACCGAGACCGCGAACGAGTCCTCGGGGGGTCCATGGCTAGAAAAGGACGACGGCGGTGGTGGATGTAATGTGACGTACGGGCAGGTGCCTCGCTCTTTAGACCGCTTTTCCGTCTCTCTCTCTACCCGCCCAGTTACCTCTGACGATCACCTGCTACTGCGAGTGTTTTCTGAGGCATTTAAAGCTATTGTTTTAATGAGATGAGACACCTGAAGGCAGCAGGTTCAGGGAAGCACAACCCTCGTATGTCGCACAAGCACCATCTGCATCGACTCCATCCACTTTCTCCTTTTTGCTATCGGTGCCGCTCAACTTAACGAAAAACCGCTTATTATTTTCTTAAACCATAAGGATTCAAAATTAATACAGCTGCATACAGTACAACAAAATTATGTTTTAACTCTCCGTTATCGTCAGTGCTGTCCTCATTACTAGAACGGTTTAATCATTTTCTGCGTCTCTTTTGTGTTTTCACAGTCAACAGTCAGGCTTTCCCCACATTAAATAAAAGTATTTTATAAGCACTGGTCGCACAGAATTAAGTCTTATATCAATGAAACCATTGCCGAGACTTATGCTGAGGAACAACTGAAAATAATAGCCAGCTCTGTGCCACCAAAAAGCCAGCTAAATAAAACACTTCGATCCGACAACACAAAACATAAGCAAGATGGCTAGCTGTAAAGCGTTAGCGAACTAAAAACAAAAAACGGCCGCCCGGTAGTTGCTTGCAAAATAAAGTTATTAGCATAAGTTTTTCAATAAATTAGAAGTAAACCACAGCGGCTTGCCTAGAGTAAACAGAAAAGTTACACCCCTCTGCGTTTGCTAACTATACCTACTCGTTCATTAGCATAAATTCGATTTTCCAGCTAGCCCAAGGCTAACAGGAAGCGGGGTCTAGAGGGGAAAACAAGTCCAACAGTGCCGACATTACGAGCTAGCGAGCGTCGTTCCGTGTCAATGTCAGGCTGGTCGGTGAGCAAAGCTAAATAGCGAATATCCTATCTACATGAAAAAGCGAACAGCTACCTCGTCCGTGAACTGAGGTGGACAGTATATGTCTAATTTAAATCCCCTCTCGCATTCGCTGTCGAGTGTTTTCTCTGGTCAGCGGGGAGTGTAGTGGAGATCAATCAATGGGAGGTTCGCATCGCTGTCAAGTCATCATCAATCGATAGCAGAACGACATTTTGCTTAATTGCTTTCTACTTTTCATATAAAATTATACAAAGTCGCTAGAAAGGAAAAGTGAAAAGTGACGAGAGCAAAATGTGTCTTATTAGCATGCGCCAAGGTCGACTTTAACTACTGGCTTGTTTTCGGAATTGACTATTTTTGTCTGGCCAACCGCAGGCGTCAGCTCCGCTCATTAATTATTCAGCAGCTTCAAAGCAGAAATACTATGAGACAAGGCTTTGAGAGCCGCTGGCATCCCGGGGCTTTTTCAGCTGGATGTGCTGCACATACACGGATACTCACCAATGCACTGCGTAAACCTAAGTCCGTTTATTCGGTTTCCACGCAGAAAATATTTATTCTTGTGCTATGATCACAAATTATACAGTACTGTCCAAAAGTCTTGAGTCATTATTCTTTATATTTTTCTAAGAAATGAGAAATAGGGGCAGCAAACATACAGGGAAATACAGTATATCAGGAAAACAGAGTTTGTACAATGGTCATGAGATTGAAAGTCAATATATGTTATGGCCACCTATATTCTTCAACACAGCCTGAATTATCTTAGGCAAGCTTTCCTGCAATTTCTGTAAGTCCTCAGGGAGAGTCTTCCAGGCTTCTTGAAAGACAAAGATCTTATTTGGATATTGGCTGCCTTTTGTTCTGTTTTCTGTCAAGACGATCCCACACCGTTTCAATAGTATTGAGATTCAGGCTTTGGGGAGGTCAATCAAAGATAGCTTAACTGCTTTAACTGCATCGGCAGTGTGTTTGGAATTATCAATCATTCAGGCCTGTTTCCTCAAAATATTGAAGGACTCACTGCACACCATACTGAGACATGCCAAGTCTTAGGCTAATAGCTTTTTGGGAATTACCTTGTTAGTGCAGAAATAGTATTTTATGCTTGTCAAACTGTTATCTTTGGCATTTTTCATAGATTTGGCTTTTTTTAAAAAAAGGAACAAATGATGTGCCTTTGTGACAGTCTGGTAGTAAGAAAAATATGTTACAATTCCATTTTAAATTGGTTTCTTGCTAGGGCCTCTGTTATTTGTAGATACAACACCGGTTCAGCCCTAGATTTAGGTGCCTTTTTGTGCTTAAATGATTCGATGTAAAAAACAATATTCCAATGTTCAAAGAAAAACTTTGAAAGACTTTTGCTCAAGGCTACTTTAAAACAATTACAGAAAAGTCTGGCACTTTAGAAGGAAAACAAAACGAAATGAGTGATTCAAGACTTCCACAGTTTCTCCTTTACAGTATACATGTCTGTGTAGGTTCTCAATCATCCAGGTCCTGGTAATCTAAGGAGATACACTCAGTTGTACATCTGCATCTAAAGGATAAAGGTCACTCTTTCAAGGACGTCAATGATCACATTTTGGACAGAGAAGACAGATAATTTGAAAGAGGAGTGAAAGAAGCCATCTATGTCCACTGTGAAGGACCATAAACAGAAGGGGTGGCTTACAACACCAACTGTCTGCCACCTAAGATCCAGTTTTGAGATCCCTAACCCCTAAGGGAGAACTCCCACTAGGGCTTAAATACCTGGGATTCTCCACCATTTGGTCTTAGAAGTGAAAAAGCTTCTCAGATGAGAGGTGAAATGTCCAGTTGCTTTGGTTTCCAAGCTCCTTAGACTACAGTATTCATGCTTTTCTTTACAATATGCCACTTAAACATCTAGGCAGATTTCAAAATAATACAAAAAAATTAAATATTACTAGGAAGGCAACTACGGTACATTCACAAAATATTACATCTGAATAAAAATCTAATTTAATATAATCTAATAAAAACAAAACATGTTCAAAACTGTGTAGGTGTAAAACACTTAAGTATTAAACTACAAAACTAAATATTAAGTACCAAAGTACATTCCTGTATAATTTTCAGTTTTCTGTACTGTCATTAAATGTTGATAAATAACACATCAAAAGATCACAGACACAAAATGACTTATTTGCAAACTTGTTACATTTATTAGCACCTAAAAAAATAAATGCATTAAAAAAAGATCAGCTATCATTTTTTTCTGTGGCGTACTCTTTGTTTTGGGGAAAGAAGATTTACACTCCTGATATCTATGTCAGCATGGGGATACAAATACCCACGTTTTACCCCTCCTCTTTTCTTCCACCTTTCTGCCTCTCTGCTCTTCTTGCTCTTTTTGCCACCCGTCTCATCCCTCCTTTTCTTCTGTGGAGGTGCAGTGGACTGTTTTTGCCTGTCATCGGGCCGACTAAAGGGGACTCTGGGATAGACTTCGTCATCAGAGCTACAGCAGGACTTTATCAGTAGTCCTCCTTCCCGCCTGGCCTGAGCTTCCCTCCTCAGACGCTTCACCTCTCGTCTCTCCTTGCGCCTCTCTTGCCACGTCTTCCTCGTGCCAGCTCGGGTGTGCAGCTCCTTCTTTGTCCTTGTCCACCCCTGGACTGATTGATTCTCCTCACCGCTCGCCCCTGTTTTTTCAGACAGGTCTGAGAAAACATGTGCAGGCTCTGAAAACACAGAAACACAAAAGACGTCCTTGACAAGTCTGATCCTGTTTTAACTGAATAACAGGTGATTAAAAGCAGCTGTTGAACTAATAAATCTTTTTGTTTATTTCCTGATCAAACGCGGTGTGAAAAGAACGCTTTATCAACCAACTGTGCAGTTCTTCTTAACTCTACAGAGATAATGTTTTTCAGTTCATTGTATTAGTTTTATGTTTTAATTCACTTAATTCACAGTGCTGGTTTCAGTCATTAAAAGGCAGCACTGATAAACCTACCAATCCCACCCAAGCAGTAATTGGTGCATTTAAATAGTGAAGGGGCATACTTTGTTGCAGAGCTGTTAGAGATCAAGAAAATGTGTCCAATAACTAACATTTCAGACCCAGAGTTACACTAATCCAAAGAAAGCACCTTCACAGAATTCACATGTCAATCTATTCTCACCAAAATGAAGCACGCTGGTGCATTTTGAAAGTGTTCCCTCACCATTCAAAAGAGCCAGCAAAAAGCATAGATGCCCAATAACATCATTTTTCTTTTGATAAATCGTTTCATATGAAATGTGTTTCTGGGCAGGATGTGATCTGTTTGCATTTTGTATCCCACTTCTGATTAAATACCCAAAGCCTTGTATCATTATCATGATTCTGCAATGCTTCTTGGGCAAGGTGAATAACAGTCTGGATAGAATCACAAAAAAACTAAGTATGATTAAAGCAATCCCAAAGCAGAAAAATGGCTGGCATTTCCAATTCAAAACCAACAAACATTTAGGTCCACACATCTCTAGACAATGACATTTTTTAAATCATTTTTCCTCTGTACACCATCACTATGGATTTAAATCAAACAACTGAGGTATGACTGAAGTGCAGACTTTCAGCTTTAATTCAAGGGGTTTAATTAAAATATTGTCTGAACTGTTTAGGAATTACAGCTATTTTTATACATAGCCCTCCATTTTCAGAGGTATTTTCAGAATTAATTGGACAACTTACCTATAAATGCTTTGTGCTACCATGATACATCGAATATTCCTGTAAAGCTCACCTTTTCTTCTTCAAATCCGTTTTAATTTAGTCTCAAGCACAAATGGGAACACAGTCATTTAAAAAGTGCCTGTAAATAGGGCCGCTACCAGGTCAAAGGTAAATAAAACAGGTTAATCAGATAAACCATCTCCAGCTGACATCATTTGTATCTCGTGGTGATTCACTAGAAATCTCAAGGAGGAGGAGGCTATCGTTAGACTGAAAAATCAAAATAAACCTATCAGAGAGATTGCAAGCACTTAAGAAGTGACCAAAATCTTTAAAGAATCTGGTCCATTCCTAAAAAGGATGAATGCACTGGCCAGCAAAATGCATGATGACAGAATTATTTCCATGGTTAAGAAAAACTCCTTCACAACATCTGACAATGTGAACAACACTCAAAGAGGTAGGCGTATCATTATTAAAGTCTACAATCAAGAGACACCTTTATTAATGGAAATGCATAGGGCTCACAACAATGCGCAAACCACTGGTTACACTCAAGAACAGTAAGATCAGATTAGACCTTGTCAGAAAACATCTAAAACAGCCTGCACAGCTCTGAAACAAAATCTTTGGACCAACAAAACCATGATGAACTTGAACCAGAGTGATGGGAAGACAAAAGTATGGGGAAGGAGCAAAACAGCTCATGATCCAAAGCATATCACATCACACAACACATATCTTCCTAACATGGTGGAGGCAATGTGACAGCATGTGTACATATGACTGCCAGTGGAACCAGATCACTGATGTTTATTGATGAGCTGACTGCTAATAGAAGCAGCGGGATGAATTCCTAAATGTAAAGGACTCAACTCTCTGCTCAGATTCAAACAAATGCTGCATAACTGATTAGACAGTGCTTCACAGTACAAATGGATAATGACCCAAATTGTAACAAAAAAAAACCCCAAAAAACAAACAAAAGTCTTTCTGAAGGCAAAGAAATGGGATATTCTTCAATGGCCAAGTCAGTCAACTGATCTAAGCCCGACAGAGCATGCTTTTCAGTTACTGAAGCCAAAATAAAGGCGCAGCCTAAACTGACAGCAGCTGCAGTAAAGGTGTTGCAGAGCATCTCATGGGAGGAAAATCAGCATTTGGTGATATCGGTGGGTAGTAGACTTCAGCAAGTCATTGAATGCAAAGGATTTCACTATATTTAAAATATTTAAAGTTAGTGCATCCAATGACTTTTGATCCCTGGAAAATTGGGCGCTATGTATACAAATGCATGTAATTCCTAAGCAGTTATAAAACCAAAGTCTGCACTTCAACACATAATGATCTGATTGTTCGATTAAAAGTCAACTTGGGGGATGTACAGAAAACTTATGGACTTGACTGTATATATATAAATGAACAACCCATTTCAGGAGATAATTTTGGTTATAATTCACGCTCAGTGTTCAGTTTACATCTGCTGTTTTCGAACTAACAGGCAGCTCCAATAAACTCACATGTACAGCCCAAACAAAGATACACCGATTGTAAAATAATAATGTAAAAACTCTGATATCAGCTTCATCACCTTTAACTCTTTCCTCTCGCCTGGTCCGAAGTTGGAGAATGTCTTCCCTGGTGTCATATTGGTAAACATAAGGCAATGATGGAAAAGTGCCCGTAACCATCCTCCTTTTAGTGCACTCCTGATACAGAAGACAGACAGTGATACAGATGAGACAAAAGAAGAAAAAATGAGTTGAAGGATGGATACAGGACAGTGGGAAATGGATGCAACTGAGACTTAAATAGAGAGAATTTAACTAAGTTTGATTCAACACAAAAAAAGAACAGGGGGAGAAAAGAATTTGGTGTAGCGAGGTGAAGCAAAAAAAAACTAAACAAAAAAAGAGTAGCAAGTTTAGGGAAAAGACAAGTGAGAGACCAAACAGATTAGGCAATAGACATAAAGGCAGACAAAGATCTAGTAAAAGTAAGATGAGGATTAAATGTATTTATCACTTACATAACCGTAATGTCCTCTTTTAGAGCAGTTGTAACAATGAATGCGGCACTTCCTGTGATGGAGGCTGTGGCTTGCCTGTGGCCTGAGGGGAACCGCTACCCTAATCTGGAAGAAAAAGGTCAAATGAAGGACATTTCTACAGCGATAACAGACTTTCACTGATCTCTTGGCTATTTTAGCAGTACACACCTATCAACAGGCTCCTGATAATGGGTGTATTCTGGTCTGATCCCCAGCACGTGGGATCTTCATTGCATTTGATTCCCCTGATCTCTTTCCCCCATTTTCCATCTATTTTGTCCTGTGACTATCAATGAAAAAGCAGCGAATACAGCTTTCAAAATTGCCTAATTAAACCGGTCCCCTGCCACCTAGTACCTAGATCAATTCTATTGCTTACTTTAGAGAAAAATCATTAAGAACTCCAATTAGGTTTACACATTGAGCCAGAAAGGCTTGTTATTATGCATTTTGCTGAGTAAAGAAGATTAGATTAAAAAAAAAAAAAAAAAGAGCAGATAAAGAGCAGTCAAAACTCACTGTCAAGTGGTATTGTCTCCATGTATCGGGGCAAGCCTGAGGAAAATCCAGAAAACAGAGAAGAAATGTTTTCTTTAAGCAACAACGAGGAAGACAAAGAACTGTTTGCAAGAAATAAAACAACACTTCATAAATTGAGCCCACACAATCATGAGGTTACAGAATCTGTCAACAAACAACTGTCAAATGTTTTCAACGCTTTCTTCAGCACAATAACACACTCTGCAACACCAACACTCAAAGGGGCCAGACCTGCGAACTCACATCAGAAAGGTGCCCTGTCATCCCGCAGCGCAGGCAGTGCTGGTTCCATACTGGAGGCAGATCACATGGCTTGAGCCCGTGTGAAGGCAGTCCACATCTACCACAGGGGCGACTTGGACATTTCCTTTGGATGTGACCTTGGATCCCACAAAGGACACATATAGGATATTTCTGTCAACACAAAGACAAAAAAAACAACAAAAAAAAGATTTTTAAAATGGTCCTGTTGAGGAACCTCTGCAGGTGTCCATGGAAACAGCACTGATGAGTGAGTTCATTTACCTTGCGGAAGGAGCAGCTTTTGGCAAGGTGTCCTGTCCTGTTGCATGCACGACAGAACAGGGAACAACCAGGCGAGAAATAACGGCTGGTCAGAGACTGATCCGCGCCACTCTAGATAAGATGATCCAGGAATAATCCAAGACAACACAGAGATTTTTAAAATTAGGTTAAACCATAATTTTGTCTCCACACTGCAAAATCAAAGGTACAGAAGCAATTTGTTGAAGTTATTTGACAGAAAAAAGAATGCTGTACTCATGAATATACATTGATTAGAGTGTAATTACATCTTCAAACACACCAATGCCTTCCAAAACCCTTAAATCTCTTTTTCATTATGTCTTTCTTCTCCATCACTGCTCTCCCTCTGGTCCACCTGATCCTCTTCCTCCTCACCTCAAACCTCCTTTCCTGACTTGAAATCGGAGCTCTAACACACAAAAGCATGCACAAAATGCTTATTTATTCCCAATGTTGTCGCAATTGCTCCAGTCCAACAATTTTAGATCAATGTCAAAGAATGTTTCACTAACACTGGTTAATTGCAGCTAACAGAGGTTAACAAGGGCTAATAGCAGCTAAATGAAGCTAATAGCAGCACTTACATAGAGAAAAGTTCAGCATCTTCAAAAGCTCACCTCAGTGTTGCTGTCATTGGGCAGACGTGAGCTTCACTGACTCGTTGATTCATATTGGACTTATTTCACAACATTTTACAGACTCCCCCAGATTAAATTAAAGTGGACACCCGGCATATTGACAGCTGAGGTAAACTGTGGACTGACAGGCTACACTCACTGCAGATGAGCTGCAGTGAGTCGTCCTATAGTATTCATGAAAGCTGATAAAAATCAAAAGTTACCTCAAAAGTTACCTTGTCTTTCACAGATACAGCCCAGCTTTCTTTTACTGATTTTCGCATGTTGCCCTTCAAATCTGTGTTGGAGAGAAAGACCAGGGGGAACATTAATAAATACAACTAAATATTGTGTGCAATAAAATATCCAAATTTAAGCTGATCTCAGCATAGTTACTGAACAGAAACATAAGCACCTAAAAAAAAGGGAATAAAAAGAAAAATAGGGTTTTTCAAAGCTTGATAATCTTTTCTAAGCATTCAGTCTCGATAAAGCAGGAGCTCTAAAAAATAATGAAGGGCACCTGACCTTTCTGGACTAACTATCACTTATGTGTAAAGAAAACCTAAAACTTTACTGCTCCAGTGGAGCCCCGAGCTGGTGGGTCAAATCAAAGTGGTTGTTCTGTGCAGCTCCCTGGTGTGAATATGATAATCTTCATCCAAAGCACCAAGCTAAGCAAACTGTCTCTGTATACACTTTTTAAATAAATTGCACTCCCACACATTTACAAAAATAACTGTGCACTTACCGGGTCCATTTACTCTTTTTGGTTGAAATGCATTTACAGAGATGTGTTTTTAGTCACCTTTATTTTTCTTCATTTTTATCTCTATGCTGGAAGCTGGTACATCCACAAAAGAATAACTAAACTGTATCACCACAGCCCAGTACAGAAAACAGTACAGCTCATGGAAACATCAACAGTAGCATAATAAGTAAGCAATAAGTACGTAGCATCTGTTTGTTGTTTGCACTAGCTGCATTTCAAAGCTGTTTTCTCTCTAATTAAATAATTATTAAAGTACATGTATTAAAGTCTTTCTTTTGATCGCCCGCATCCAGTTTTTTTGTGAACCAATCCCCATACCAGTGAGCACAAGCATGTGGTGACAGTTCGTGATTTCTTGGGCTCCCATTTTTGTTATCACCCCTTATTTTAATTTAAGTATTGATTACGCATGTAATTAATTGTGCATGGTTCAAAGACCTATTCATGCCACCAAATTTAGGTGTTTGATGACTTTTGCAGATCAAAATGGCTAAATGTTTCCCTGGGGTGGATTACTTTTCTTTGACCCTCATGTATTATATTCACTAGAATTTGTTGTTTTCCAGTTACAGTACCCTTGGATGTGATTTGGTGTACATTTCTCCAACTGTTAAAACACAGGCACAAAAAAACTTCAGATATTTTGCCAGGAATTGCTGAAACAAATTACCTTTCAACATAAAAAAAAATTAATCTAAGCAAATCTCAAAATGAAAAATTGCTTTGTTAAACTAAACAAGGAGCATTTTAGAACAACAAGTTAGTATATAATTTTTACTGGATGTTTTTAGTTAATGCAATAATGTTTTTATATTTCTTGTAGTTTGCTTTATTTTGTTTGTTTGTTTTTTTGCTTGTGCTAGCATCGTTTCTGTCAGGTAACACTTCCAAAAGGTCCACTATGAGAATAAGTATGATTAATTTTAATGCTTCTATTCATTTACTTATTGCACGCATAGTATCGTGGGATTGTTTTGGTCTGTGGTATGTATTAGAATCAAATTAAACTGATCAATCAAATTAATACTGCACGGCCTCAGTAATCTTTTGGAATTACATTTAAATGTACATCAATTTTCAATTTTCCACATATATATATATATATATATCAATAATATACATTAACCAGACAAAACTTCAAAGGTGAAGCCATACAGTAATATGTAATCTACATATAGTCACTGTGAATAACATCCATCCATCTGGATTAGCTGAGCTTTAACGCACATTACAAATAGGTAGTGGAATAATCGCATTTACTTTTATTTGTTTTGTTATTGCAGATTTTGGTTGGATATCACTCCTGTATTGCACTTACTTCTGACTTTTTGCTTTCATATTTAAACTCTGCGAAATCTTCCTCTCGCGCTTGCATATAAAATGGCAGGAAACTATATTCTTAACCCAAAAGCTGACCAAGTCAAGTTTCACCTTCATCATCTAATTCCTCCCCGGAGCTGTTCCTGTAGCTCAGATTGAGCTGGATGTTTGAGTCCTCCACCTGTTCCTCCCCTTCCAGGATCATCCAGTCCTCTATGGGCTGATCCTCATCTTTATCGTCCTGTAGGTCATCACTAGAAGACACTTCCAGCTCAGCGTCCAGCAGAGCCCTTTTTCCTCCAGAGGAGAATGGAAAGACCAGGAGGAGCGGAGGGGAGCTTTCTCTGCTCTGCCGTGCAGCTTGTTTGCAGCTCATCGAATGTCTCATACACCCTCCTTCGTCTTCTGAACTGCTGGACCCCCGAATAAAGAAGTCTTCGGAGCCCTCCTGCCCATCATCAGCTTCATTTTCCTCAGTGTGCTCCATAATCAGACCTGACACAACCTGTAGCTGAACAGCGCCACTCACAGGCGACTGTCTTCACTGCTAGCAAACAGCGATAACTGATGGGTCTTTTACACGTTTTTATTAACGTCTTTTATCCGACCGAACTAAAACCGTTTTGGTTTAAACCGGGATAGTTACCGCGCGGGTGTGCAAACATTAAAAAAACGTATTTTGTCGCGAGCTAAGTAGCACCGCAGTGCACGAGGCAGTTAGCTAAAGTAGCAGCTAAACATTACCAAGTCAAATAACTTCAGTAAACATGATATCCGGCTACCTACACCTTTAACTCCCAATACTTCGCTTTCAGGTTCATGGCGTAAAATTATTGTTCCTTCAATACAGCGCAGAAAAAGCTTGTTTTTCTCCCATGCTTGTTTACTTGTGTGGAGCGGTTTACCCGGCGTTTCCGGAAAATGTTGGACAACCAAAACAGAACCCAGCGTCCAAAGTCTGTCTAGGAGTTTCCAGGTATAGTCAGTGATAAAAGAGGAAGAGGTCCACGTTTGTATGAAAAACTACTTTCTGATAACTAGGGCTGCTCAATTAATCGAATTTTAATCACGATTACGATCTGGGCTTTCAACGATCATTAAAAATGACTGAGCCGATTATTAGCCCCTCCCTCATTTATCCGCGACACCTTAAAGGCCGGTCCGTGAAAATATTGTCGGGCATAAACCGGTCCGTGGCGCAAAAAAGGTTGGAGACCGCTGATTAAGAGGACCCGAGGGAAGCTCGGAAAGCTAAGCAGAAGTTATTTGGAGAGGAGAGTGACTGCCGTTGGTTGAAAAGAGAGGTAAAAAAAACTTCAGTGGTGTTGCACACTATTTTATATTATTTTTTAAAGTCATTGTTAACCCTTTAAATCCGGTCAGAGCAGCACGCTCCGCTTTGTGTAACTATTTTTAAATCCCTGTAGAACCTGAACCACGTAAGCTAGCGCAATAATTTGTTTTGCATATGAAACCGGAGGAGTTGTACTTACATCTGATGCCATCAGCTTGTCCTCGGTCACGGTTTCCTTCCACATATAGCTTTGCAAAAATTGCATAAAAAGCGCTTGCAGGAACAAAAACATAATATTCCAGAAACACGCTTTGCCGATCCGATCAGCTGTTCGTAACACTTCCCACAGTGAAACAGACGTCAGCGCGAACTGTCGCATGTCCGCCATTTCCTGGCCGAAACCGGAAGTGACGTCATTTTCGCGGAAATGTAGTTTTTTACTTGTAGGCCTTAAAAACCTCTACTGGTCATGTTTGACTTTTCTGAATAGTTTCTGGGATGCTTGCACTGCTGGAAATAGTTTATTTTGATGCACATGCTGTTTTCTTTGCAAATTTGCATCATAGGATTGTTTTTTTTGTTTTTCCTGCAGTATATAAAAATTGGTGTATCTCCAAAATAAAACTATGAAGACACTCAAAATAAATTTCCTGTTGTTGTAAACTATTTTTTGCAACTTTTTTGTATTTAAAGTTTTGAGGGATAAACCTCTTAAATTTCTCCAAGTAGAAATATATGTAAAAAAAAACAAAAACGATTTTCAATTTTTTTGTAGTTTATTGCACTTTTTTGCAATTAATGTAGTTACTATGGACTTAATGCATACATATTATTAAAATATGGGCTATAACAGTTATAGCAACTTGAAATGCTCCCACAAATGGCACTACAACATGTAAAAAAATAATATAAGCTCTGTCGGACTTGGTTCTATAGTAGGTCTTAAAGGGTTAAATAAATATCGTCAAATAATCGAGATCTCAATTTCAGTGAAAATAATCGTGATTATCATTTTTGCCATAATCGAGCAGCCCTACTGATAACCGTTGTTGGGTTTAATTGTTAGCGATTGAAGTTAGACCGTTTTATAATATGGACTTCAGTCTGCAGCGTAGCTACAGCTGTAGGATTAATTTTGTGAACTAAAAATAGATTATTTAACTAAGAAATGTAATCACATTAATACATTTTGAACTGAAATAGGACTATCAGCCTACATTCAGTCAAGCGTAATCCTAATTAGAGGTTAACTATAAAGGTCTAGTGTTATATTACAATCAATGTAATAAATAAATAACTAAAAAAAAGAAGTGCACCCTTTGTCAATTTTAAGGCTTTAAATATCAAGACATAATAAAAGACTCAAGAAGTTTATTGTCATTTTGTATGATGTTACCCAGCCTGAAACGAAATACGGTTTCTCACCAGCCTCCACAGTGCAATAAGCAATACAGTTTAAACAGAATAAACAGATTAAAAATAATAAGTTTAAAAAGAGCAGTTAAAAGGCAGTAATGAATTGCAACAATAGTTATGGATAATAATAGCATAAAATCAAAGTTCTAAAACAAACTCAAGTGACATTCGTTCGGATGGATAGCAGCAGTCCATTCACTGAAGGGGATGGTTAAATTAGGTAGTGTGAGTATCTGAGGAGTGTATTGTATGTGTGTACGTGTGTGTTTGTGTGCGTGCGTGTGTAGACAGGGACAACACAGTCCGCTTGTGGATCTTACAGTGTAGCTGTGTGAATGGCTGTGTGGGTGGGGAGGGGGCACAGTCCATTTATCAGAAGGCTTATCAGGTCTTAAGATAAAATATAAATACAATGAGATGAGTAACACGTGACTTATTACACTGTCATTATTTATTTTTTATTAAAAAAAAAAACTAAACCAAGAATTTTGTGGAAAAACTAATAACGCCACATGATTCAGAAGTCTCTCACATGATTGTGGAGGAATTTTGACTCACCGTTTGCAGTATTTACAATATTCCTTCAGTTCATTTGAGGGTTGCACATTTTCAGCTGTGCACAGCTCTTAAGGTCCCACCAGAGGATTTCAATCAGGTTTATGTCTGGACTTTAGCTGTGCCATTGCAACGCCTTAATTCAGAGGAGGGGGTCTCTGTCATCCTGTCATGCTCTACAAATTTTGTTAGTCTTGCAATTATCTTACATCACTGCACATAGCAGAGAACAATAAACAATCAAAATTTAACCTAAATGTTGCGCTGAAAAAGTATACCAGCTGCAGCTCCCCTGCTTCCCACAGCCTTGCCTTGATGCTTTTCTTCAGAAAGTGCCAAACATCTCCACTGTGGTTTTTATCTGTCCAAAGGACATTAAACCAGCAAACCAGAACTTCTGCTTTTATAGAGGTTTCTCACTTGCTGATTATCAGTTTGCATCTGGCTGCTTCTTACCATCTTAATTCTGATGTAAGTAGTTGGAGTGCACACGATAATCTATTATAAAAATACTAAATTTGTGATGTTCTTACACATAAAAATTATTTGATGTGCACACCAAAAATAAGTTGTATGCACCTGATGATTTACTATAATATTTTTGTAATAGACAGATGTCAGCTACACAGCTTGCTTATTGCTCTTGCTTTAAACGTTAAAACTGATTTATCATAAGCACAAATCATCTGCTGCTCAGGCTGTGCATTGTGTGGATTAGCACATCTTTCATATGCAGCAAATGGTGTCTGTACGTGAAAGAAGCCAGGTGTAGTGTTTGTAAATATTAAATATCTCACAATATTTCTATGACAAATAACTTTAAAAGCACATGGACTGTGGGGACTTAAGGGGCTCCGCCTTGGGGACTCTGATTCACCACTTCTGTATTCCTAAAGTCCTGGTACAGCCCTGCTCACACGAGCTGCTGCACGTGCGTGTGCGTTCAAAGCGCTCCAGCAGCTTTCCAGCGCGCAGGTGCTGAAAGTATCAGAGAGGAGCCTCTGACCTGCCACCGCGCACAACTTTAGTTTTTCAGTTTCCAGGTTGGTTTAAAATGTTGCAACCTCCACAATAACCGCACCCAGAAGCAGAAGTCCAACAGATCTCCAAGCATTTTCCACACTTAGACAAAAGTCTGTGATGGAAGTGCATTTTGGACAGGCTCCGCTCACCGTTATGCACAGTAAGTAGCCTAATGATGTTTCCTAGTGAGGGACTTTACCAGCACCGTAGCCCAGACTAAGTTATAGTGTTACCTCTTTAACTTTAAGTAGTACGCGGCAGTCGCATAAATGGGTGGTCCAAAGTATAGCACAATTTAACTGATGTTTCTTCATCCGCTCCGGTGCTCAGGGCACGGTGGAGTCAATCAGCTTGGCGGTGTCTTCATTAACGGCCGCCCGTTACCTCACGTGGTGAGACAGCACATCGTGGAGCTCGCGCAACAGGGCGTGCGTCCCTGTGAGATCTCCCGCCGCCTGCGCGTCAGTCACGGCTGCGTCAGCAAAATACTGGCCAGGTAAACGGAGTCTGTAATGTACGAAGGAGCATCAGGGCCACGTGATTGTTAATCAATGTCAGATTGAAATATAAAGATTGACGCCTTTTATATAATGCTTTATATAGTGAAATCGTACTTCATAATTAGTTTTATTAACCCTTGTTAATAAAACTAATTATGAAGTACGATTGTGTCTTTTTTTTAGCTCATGAACGCAGTTTGCTGATATGTGATGAGGGCGCTGAAGAGCTGAAAGCTGCATTTGGTCAAAAAGAAAAAACACGAGCTTGGAAGAGTAAGATAAAAACAGCTGGTAATGGAAAGGTGTACGGATACCGATGGTTAGAGGGCATATGTTGTATCACAAGAAGACAGCTGATCAAGTTGTTTCACTAACTCATCTACACAGCCTAGCAGCTGGATTGGATTTATATAGCCCAAAGCGCTTTACAATGCCACTATTCATTCACTCACTGGTGGAGGAAAGCTACGGTCGTAGCCACAGCTGCCCTGGGGTAGACTGACAGAGGCAAGGCTGCCATATCGCGCCATCGGCCCCTCTGGCCAACACCAGTAGGCGGTAGTCTTGCCCAAGGACACAACGACCAGGACAGAGAGCCCGGTGATCGAACCGGCGACCTTCCGGTTACAGATACACTTCCCAACCCCCTGAGCCACGGTCGCCCGTTTGACTTGAAACAACTGTTATTTGACTTGAAACAACTATTTGTTTTATTTAGTAGTGTTAGTAGTGATGTCTGCTTGGCTGTTTTACCACTTTTCCAAAAGCAAAGTGTATCAATTAAATATGAAAACCACATATTTTAAACAATTTTTTTTAGCTTATTTGTAAAACTTGTCATTATCTTTTTAATCTATTGCATGCCCTACTTATATTAATGCAAATATTTTGTGTGAGCACGCTAGTGAGTGTAATTTCTTTGTGATGCTGTGATATTTTGTTGTTGCTTTTTTAAGCTTTAAGCTGGACTGTTAAACTTCTTGGTTTTTCTCACTTCATTACAGCTTGAGGTTTTTATGGAAAATGTAAAAAAAAAATATTACAATAGCTGATTAAAGGTGAAAATCCTTGAAAGGTGACTTTTTGATGTGGTTGTTATACAGCATTGCTTTCAGGTAAAATGTTAGCCCAACTGATAGATATTGACATTGTTTGTTCAGGTACAATGAGACAGGAAGCATCAGACCCGGACTGATCGGGGGCTCTAAGCCCAAAGTGGCCACTCCCCAAGTTGTGCAAAAGATCCTCCAACTGAAACACAACAACCCCACCATGTTCGCCTGGGAGATCCGAGACAGGCTGCTGCTGGAGCAAGTGTGTGACCAGAACAGTGTGCCCAGCATCAGCTCCATCAACAGGTACAGTGTGTGAACTCACGTGTGTCTGACTACACAGATTTTAAAAGTGAAGAAAAACGTTGAGTGGGTTATTTCTGTCCTCACAGAATCATCAGGAAGAAAGTTCAGTCCGAATCTTGTGAAGCTGGTAAGACTGTTTCTTTTACCCTCTAGTGCTCTCACAAATGTTTAATGACACTAAACCTCTGCCTCTGCAGTGTCCTCAGCATCATCAGTTGCCATGGGAACAGCCTGTTCCTCCCCAACCAGCTTTTCCATCAGTGGGATTCTGGGAATCTCAAAATATAGCCGCAAGATACCAGAAGGTAATGTAATCTGTGAGCATGATCTGCAATTGTTCATGTTGAAAGTGTAGGCTCACAAGTATTCTATTAAGTTCTATATTTTCACTTCTACTACCAATTTCTACACTCGATTGCTTTATCTGCTGTTAGCAGCTCTCCATTTTTGTCAGACATTATTAAGGAGCAACTCCTGCCTGCAGCATCACATGTCGTTAGCTTCATAGCATAAGTGCCTAAGTCATTTTTTTGTGTTTTGTGTTTCAGACGGACAGGATGATGCAGCAGTGGTAGGGGAGTAAAGTTAGGCAAAAATCTCAATTTGACCAAAAAATGACTTAGGCACTTATGCTATGAAGCTAACGATGTAAGTCCAGAGAAAGGGAAATGGGTGGCTGCTCAGTGTCAATGGAGCAAAGATTTTGGGAGATGGTGTAGCGATTCAGTTGCTCATAGAGGTTGTGAGACACAAAATCTCAAAGGAACTTGACCAGGGGATGCTCCAGGGATATGAATCTTAATGCTACAGAAAAGATTCTGTTACAATCGTTCAAACAAAAGGTGAAAAAAAGCAACAGAAAGAAAGGAGAATTAATGACAGAAATGAGAGATGCTGCAAGAGGTTGAAATAAACCCCAACACTGAAAAAGGTTGTAGGTGAATATCTGGACCCAGGAAGCTTTAGTTTAAATAGAAGATAATAGAATATAAGGTCAAGTCCAGGATACACCGTAGTTTGTCAACCATCATGGATGGGCAGCTAGTAAACAACCATGAACTGAAAGAGATAGAGCTCCAACTCTTCATACAAGTGCATTTTAATAAAAAAAAAAAACATGAGTTTTGTTTTTGTTAATTTTGAGAAAACTGGAAGATAATCAGATCCTGAGGTCACAGAAGCAGTTAGTGAGGGATTGAGGAGGATGTCTGGCAGACAGTTTGTGGTGATGTGGAGCTGAGAGAAAGTTTAGGCTATGCTTGCATATATTTTTTCTAAGTGCTATTGAGCCCTGGGAAACACATTTGGTGACAGAGATTAGAAGAGAGGAGACTCTTAAACTGTTATTATCGTGTTTCATATTGAGTCATGCAATCTTCTCATCTGATTGTAGTCATGTTGGTGTCACAAATCTAGAAACGTTCATATCTGCTCATGAGCTGGTGCCTCTGGAGCTTGCAGACACTAGCTGGATAACTGGTGAAGAATGTAGAGTTTCTCTTTTTAAACAAATCTGCACATTGTTCAGATGTCTTTGAAAGTCCTATTTTTAATACCTTTCCAACAAGTTTTTTTCTTGATGCACCTTTTTAAAAATACATATATATTTTAAAGTCATACCAAGAAAACATAATTTCTGCAAGAAAAGTCAAATACATTGTTTGAAATTGCATCCTTAAGATAGACAAACTTCACTGGCCATTTCTTTTTCTACTGTAAGAGCTCACACACATGGATGTATTTACAGAGGAGGCTCAGGATTTAGAGCCTATTCTTCTCCGCAGCTTGTGACCACATGGCAGACTGATGTGAAAAACCAGCGGCCTTATGTTAATATTAGTCTGACTAAAACAACCTCCGCGGCAGGAGGTCCACCTCAGCTCCCCAGGCTTCTGTCCTCAAAGCCAGCAGGTTCTCTGCTCCTCGCTGCCTCCTCCTCACCTTGGCCTCTCATTACAGGCCCATACACCCTCACATCTCCATCACTGCGAGCATTAGAAGAGGAGATTGCATGGAAAAATATGCATAGTTACCCCTGGAAACGCAGGCATGCATGTGTTTCATCATTTGTCTAATTAGCACAAGTGAAGATAGAAATGGAGACAGGAAGGGAAATAAAAGAGAACCTGAGCTGGAACTGTTTTGTTTTCCAGCAGGGGACATCTCTTGCAGCGTGTACCAAGACCAGCCGTGTTCATGTTATGACACCTGGGGACAGCCGGACCCCTGCATGATCTCTCTGTCCAGCTTGACCTCTTATACAAGCCTGCCAGCTAATCGTAATCCAGACGTGATGGGTCAGTATTTACTGAATTATGATCACTTATCTCTCATATGAGGTCAGCTTTAATGTGTCTTTCTCTGTCTCATACATCCTCTTGTTTAGGACCTTCGTGTCAGTGCAGCTGAATAAGGAGCCCTGAGAAGAAAAAATATCACCGCTTTAGTGCCACAAACAGGATGACTGCAGAACTCGTTTAACTGTAATTCTATTTATTACTATCACCGAGATAGAAATCTGGATCATAATCGAAAACATGTGGAAATAAAACCAAGATAACAAGCCTCACCTTTCATGTTTTATTCACATTATTTGAAGCAAAGAACAGCCTAATAGAGCTTCATCAGTCCAACATATTATCCCCCATCCCTGTCGCCCCTGTGGCCACTTTCTCCTCTGTCAGTGGTATAGGGTTAGCATCATTAGGGGCCTCATGATGGAGAGCAGAGACTGCTTTCTCTCCTTTGTGTGCATCTCCCTGGCCTCCCCTCCAGGATGAGGGATTAAAGTAGAAGATGGGAGCTGCTGGAAGGAGCAGTGGGGTCAAAAAAAAAGAAACACCGCTAAGAAAGAAATCTGCTCAGCAGTAGACATCAATCTGCATGAAGCATGTAGAGAATATTAACAGGATGACGAATGTGTTTTGGTTTTGGTTTTACTAAGTATATCTAGACACGTGCACAAATCCCTCATGCACCACAAAAAATTTATGAAGCACCATGGCAACATCTGTGTGCAAATAATTCAGCATGTGACCACAATAAACCAAAGCTATCAAATCAGCTTCACCTTTAAACTTAGAAACCACAATTCTGTTTATAAAGCAACAACAATCACCTCAAGGTGCTTTATACTGTAAGATAAAGACCCCACAATAATACAGAAAAACCCCAACAATCAAGTACTTGGTGACAGTGGGAAGGAAAAACTCCCTTTTACCAGAAGGAAACCTCTGGCAGAACAAGCGATGGGACGGGCAGCCATCAGCTGGGCGTAAAATAAATGTTCATGACAGAAAAACTGAATAAACCTTAAGATGGTCAATAAACAAGGCCTGGTTTAGCTTACTGGTGGAGCAGCTGCCCGATTTGTGTTCTTTGCTGTATGTCAAATATCAAATAAAGGAAAAAAAAACCCCAAATAATCCTAAATGAAGGTCAATAAGCAAAAAAGTGGTCCTCTTCCTCAGATTTTATATGCCCTGGACGGGCATATAATAAGTGCTATAGATACAGATTAGACAGAAATACAGTACAAAGTAAAAAATGACAGGAACATGGAATAAATTCCCAGATTTATTGGAATCGTAGGTGAAATATGCCCTCAATCGTTACAACCAGATTTTTAGATGTATCTTGGAACGCAGCTCTTCTTCTCCCTGTACTAGTCACAGGCTAGTTGTCCACCAGTGTCACTGCGTTAAGCTGAATTAGCAAAAATATACCCTCATTTGGACCCGATATGTAGCGCATGTAAATCACCTCCCGGTACTTTAATCCAGATGTTTTAGTCAGACCCTGACCTCAGTGCATTCTGGTGTTCCATATTTAAATCACTCAGGGAGGCTTTAAACACACCAGCTGAGCCCAGTCCTATGATTGCCATATTTAGTGTGAAACCTGGTCTAAAAACATCCATAATACTCTTTCTTTTGATTGCCTGCTAGCCCATCATCTTGTTCTTTAAAACTGGAAAGATTACCTCCACCACCCCTTGCCAGGTGGATGAGGGACACCATGTTCCATTTGAAGTGAGAAAGGGTTAAATACAATACTGTTCAAAAGTCTTCAGTCACCATTCGTTTATTCATATTTTGCTAGGAAAATGGAAAATGGGTGTCTTTGTTCAGTTCTCTGTTGGGATAATCTCATTCTGCTTCACTAATGTTGAAGTCTGGGCTCTGGGGAGGCCAATCCATGACTGATCATGTTCTAGTGTGTGCGTGTGTGTGTTTGTATCCAAGTATAATTCTACTGCACTGACAGTATGTTTGGGATCATTGCAATACTGAAAAAAGAAGCAGCTATCAATCAGCTGCTTTTGAGATGGTATTGTATGGTGGATTTAAATTTGGTGGCACTTTTCTGCATTCATAATTCCATCAGTTGTGATAAAATCCCGTATTTGGCATAGCTCAACCTTTTTTCCCTGTTTCCCTTCTAGCTTCTTGACTTCCACTGAGACCCTTTCTGATGAGGTTTCAATGAACAGCGAGAGAGAACAAATCGTGTATTTTTTGTGACAAACTGCTAATAAAAATAGGTAAAATTGGTTCTTTTCTAAGTCCTTGTGTAGACACAAGACTTTTTCATCCCTTGAGTTTGGTGTCTTTTTTTATACTTGAATGATTGAAAATTCCTCTCAAAATGGAAGGACTGAAAATGAGCTTGCATCAGTAGAGGGCAGCACTTCTGTGAGTAGTTTGTCTTGTAAAGTGACTCTGTACCAAGGATGCATTAACAGAGCTAGTAATGCATCCACACCCACTTCTTATCATAACAGCACAGCTCCGGAAACACTTCAAGCTAAAACTTATTAAGGCAAATCACTCAGAAGAGCATTAACACTTGATGGGATTATGAGACAGTGGAACAAATGCAAAGGCAGACAACTCAAAGAAGGCTCTTATTTTAGGGTTCTGATCACTTTGTTATGATACAATAGCAGCCAGTGTCTTAATCAAGCCGGTTACTATACTGACTGTAATCCAGTGTCACTAATTCCAGATGTGTCTCAAGAGGTTTTACAGTCTGTACAGGTTCTTTAACCCGTTTGGGTCAGGAAAAAGGAAGAACAAACCTTAAGAAGGCTTATAAACATAATAGCTGAAAAGCTAATAATTCTATCTAACATCCTTGACTTTTAATGGTTGAGCTTTGTTAATGAATTTGTCAGTTTTACCTGCTCATCTTGGCTCAGGTCATATATTGGGGTTTTTTTAAATACCTTTTTTTCTTTGCAATTACCAAATTTATTAAAAAGCCCTATTTAAACATTCCTGGCAGTGTGGCTAACAACTCTAAAGCAAAAATGCAGGAAGTGTCATGCAGACAGACACGTGCAAGTAATTCCTCTAAAACACATTTTAGCTGAACAACTGCTCAAAGGTTTTAATGGCCGCCAATGTCACTGCCTGCTATCATACTGGTAAATGTCAGGGTAAAAGGTTAAAATGCTGCTTGGCATCAGTTAAACATTAACCATGTTCACCACAGATTGAATGCACTTGGAAAACAATGATGCTTTTCTTACCTCCCAAAATCCCAGACAATCTGAAGTAAGAGCCTTCTGCTGGTGTTATTAGCTGCACCTGAGAGTGTTACATGTAACCTTTATGTAACGGTTCATAAACTGTAACAAGTACCATAGACACACTTCTACTGAACTCATTAATACAGGCCGTTTAGTGGTAACTGCTACCTTACTACTGCTGAGGATAATACGATGTATTGAAAATGTATAGCTAACACTGTTATTTCTGTTATCTGCTACACAATATCGAACTATTTATTTATCTAGCTAGCATCACTGAATTTTAAGTAGTGATGCAGGTTTCAGCAATTTACTTTTTTTTTTTTTAAGTTTTCAATCTAATTTTGCCCTTGTCCTTTACACCTTAAAATATATTGACAGCATCTTATAGTCAAGTTTAAACCATTCATGTATGTATTCTGTGTATTGTATATTTTCAACTTTGTGATAAATCTGTCTTAGTACATGGCGCCGTGCCAGCTCTCACACGACAAATCCTGCTGAATGTTGTTAAACAAGTGTTGCTTATCTTCTTTAATCGTGTGTTCAATCTAAATATTACGCTGACTTGCAATATTAAGAGCTTGTGCGTGCGTGTGTATGTGTGAATTCCTCAGAATCTGTTTGCAGTCCCATTTACACCTGAATTTAATTCTAGGTAAGAATTTATTATGTTTAAAGTTAAGATAAATCTCCAAGAAATAAGTGAAGTTAACTGAAATAATCTTTGATCTGATGTGAACGTGTGTGTGTGTGTGTGTGTGTGTGTGTGTGTGTGTGTGTGTGTGTGTGTGTGTGTGTG